TGATCGCAGCTGGTTTACGAGAACGGTGCTTGCAGCTGAAGCTGAGAAAAGGATGACTCGTCGAGTTCCCATTCAAAAGGGATACATTAGCCAGATGTCTCTGGGTGGCGCAGCAAGACAACACTTAATACTCTCAACCTCAGATACTCGTTCCGACGGCTGAATAATGCTCATGTTGACCTCGTCAATATTCAAGTGCATGTTATATTTATACAGGTCATAAGACCAGGCAGTTATCTAACCGTACATCAGTTCCCGTTTTTACAATCGTACTATCTCATGTGGCTTATAAAAGGAAGGGACAGAGTTATTTGAAGCTAGGTTGTACATTTGGTGGACACCAATCCAACCAGCACAGTCGTTTGCCGAGTCCCACAACAACCTAAAGGCTGTTCAAGTTGAAACGCTAGCAGTAGTCGAGACAATCACCATCCTCTTGGTAGTCAGAGTTGTGTACACTGGTTCAGACACTGAAACTCTGGCCGAAAGTAGACCATATCAGGCATGGACGAAGTGATGACTCGAATCGAATGACAGTGGTTGCTTAGCACTTTTGTGTTCGAACATGAAAACTAGAGATATGCTTGTCCCTCCCCAATCCTTGGCTATCACTAATTGACTCCGACTGTTGGACCCTACCATGTTACCTGTTTTCTTACATGAGTGCGTTTGTAACGGCTTGAGATTGAACTCACTGAAAACGTATGTTCGCCTATGACATATCCTGGGCATTTTTCTTTGACATCTTACGACTCCGTTGGAAGGGCCGCACTATGAAGATGTTTGTTGAGAAATGAAGCACCGGAAGTGTCGATCCTCAAAGATTGATATCATTATACCTTAGGTTGGTTAAGGCCTCTGGTCAGTTTTCACCCCTTAACCATCTCCAGTGCAGACGGTTACCCTATATCTCCATTATTTAATTTGCCGTCAAAGTGATGTTGGGATGTTGATCTCAGTGAGAAGTAATTTTGAGGGAAAGACCTCATCACGACCGACTAAAGCTATCAGGGTAAAGGTATGTATCGCCACGGTTCATAGCGTTTTACTTTGCGGTTGCGACAGCTGGCTTCAATGCTGAGGATGCAAACCGACCTGTATTCGATCACCGATCTCTTCGAATTACTTCTCGCATCTGTGAAAACATCGGTTAATCATTGACGAAGTTCAGTGTCGTATGGTAGGTTCTACGTCTTTTTAAATGGGTGCTCGCACTACATCGCCCAGTCGCGTTTTGCCGATATTTACTTTACTCTGTGCTTCAGTTTTCACAAGCATTAATCATTTTCATGCACCGGTTTTGGTTGCTGTCTTTTGGCCAATCATGTGGATAAAAGAGCAGAATGAAGATTGGAATGTTGAGAGCAAAGTCAAAGTGAAGGTGGAGAATTCATATGGACTGGGGTTGCCAGAATAATGTACGGTTCCATACCACGCCTGATCCAGCGGGGCATTGTGGTTCGACGCTCCCAGTCCCAGGGTTCAGGTTACCGGTTTCCATCACTAAAAAGAAGGTCCTCCCATCTGCTGTTCATTACACTAGGGCGTGTAATAAAAAAGTGAGTAGATTCGCGATCGCCACTGTGACATCCAGTCATATCACTCAGTGTCTCCAACAACCGGTTACCATGATATAGGGAATTTCTGGTTATTTCTGGAATTTCCTGGTTAAACAGGGTGATATCTCATGGTTGGTGCAAACAGGAGGCATCTCGTACGATTAAGGGGTGAGGAAGGACTAGACTTGTAATGGTTCTTGGCGTTCAGGCCGGACGTAGGGATAGGGGAGCGCTAGCATTGGCTTCTGTTGGTGCAGCCCACCTTTGGTTCTGGGTCTGAGGTGAGGATTACTTTCAGTTATAAATGCCGAGATATAAAGCTCAGACCAGAATTCTACTTTTCAAAACCCCGTACACAATAAATAGGAATGTGTACAATGAAACACAAGAGCTAACTCATATTGTCTAAACTGTTCCTCATATATATATGTATATATGTATATATATGGATTTAATAGTACAGTTACGGATGTGAAGTCTTGTCTGACGAGGAATAGAAGACCGGGGAAATTCGTGAGTGGGATTAATGTAGCGGTTCAGTCTGTGAATGTTAGTAACGGCGAGTGGTCTGTAACTTTTTAGAACGATCAGGGGCATGTGTAGTTGTGTACTGTCATGGCACAATGTGAGGGTAGAACAAGCAGGTGATCTTCAGACTTGAAACAGAACAGGCGATGCAGTGAGTCGTGCAAGGTAAGCAGCCGTCGCCACAATAGACGGAATTTGTTTGTCGTTTCGGCGTACGCTCCAACGGACTGCAGCCCAGATGCAGTCAAAGATGAGTTTTACCACAATCTACACGACCTCCTGCGTAAAGCGACCCGGGCTGATATCGTGATTGTAGCGTTAGATATGAATGCTAGAGTAGGCTGTTTGATTTCAAGTAAGGTGCACCTGGGAGGTCCTTTTGAACTAGATTCCTGTCGCTCGGAAAACGGGGAACGGCTGTTAGCTCTGTTCCGACCACCGCCTGTCCCTCGCCAGCACAAACTTTAGACGTCCCAACTGGCGTTCGCCCTCCTCGAATCAACGACGGACACAGATCGACCACCTCGCGATAAGCCACAAATGGCGGGGCTGTATTCAAGACTGCCGATCGTACTGGAGCACTCCCCTCGAATCCGACCACGCATTAGTATGCGCCAAACTGTCCATGTGCTTTGGTGGGCGTTCCAAACGCACGACACAACGACGGTTAGACTATGATAAGCTGTCCTTACCAGCTTGTCTAGCTGTCTTCCAAAACGCGCTAGCTGAAAAGCCACCCACCCGACGATGTCAACCAGCACTGATCTCTTATCAAGAATGCTTTGTATTCTTCTAGCTTAGTTGGTTGTGGTCTGATCCGTCGCGCCGTGACACCCTGGATCTCTGCAGAGTCTCTACGTCGGTCAATTCCGACCGGCAGCGAGCAAACACGAGTCGTAACGAGACGTGAACTTAATGCAAGCGTACGCAGACACCGCGAGATTTGGTGGTCCCGACGCGCATCAGAGATGGAACGTGCTGCCGCCATGGGTAATTCCCGAAAGCTGTTCTATCTCATCCGGGTTACCGGTAGGAAAGCCTTGGGTGTGAGCAAAACGATCTGCGAAGCTGACGGTTCGCGCATTCACAATCAACAGCGACGCCTTGAACGCTGAGCGGAACACTTCAAAGTACAGTTTAGCTGGCCACCCGCGCCAGCTCCTCACACAGGTATTCCGGCACACGTCCCATTGTCTGTTTCAACAGACTCACCTTCTGATGCAGGAATCCGTAAGGAGATTCAAGCCTTATGACGTCACAAAGCGCCGGGCTCCGATGGCCTTCCCCTGCTTTACTTGAAGATGGTTCAATAAAGCTTGTTAGAGAACTACAAGTTCTGTTCTCTAAAGTGTGTTACACTGAGTAAGTACCCTCCTCATAGGCGCGGGAGGGGATCGATTTTGTCTCCATCTTCAAAAAGGGCCCGCGCAATGACTGCGCCAATCATAGGGGTATAAACCTTATCCGAATAACGTCAAAGCTGTTGGCGTTCGTCATTCTCCGCCGATCGTATGCTACGCGTGAGGAGCAGGCTGGGTTTCGTGTCGGTCGTGGATACATCAATCAAATCTTCACTCTCCGACGGCTGCTAGGGCACCGTCATGCTTATCAAAGACCAACGATCAATGTATTCTTAGACATCCGCACGGCCTTCGACTCTGTCGATAGGACCGCACTATGGAACTGTTTTTTGAGGAATGGAGTACCTGAGAAGTATGTGTCGATCCTCAAAGAGTTTTATCGTCATACCTCAGGCCGGGTTAGGGCCTATGGCCAGCTTTCGCTACCCTTTGCCGTCTCCAGTGGAGTTCGACAAGGCTGCCCCATATCCCCATTCCTTTTCAACTTTGTCATAGAGAATGTTCTGCAGAATGCTTTGTCCCGTCTAGCAAACGGTGGAGTCAAACTCCTCCCAGGGAACAGAGTTCTTGACTTAAAATATACCGAGCTAACTCCATTCGACGGAACCCCATCAACTATTGGGTTTTTTCAGGGAATTTGACAGTTTCGTCGAGTGTCGGGTCGCCGATCCAGGGCAGAATTTCCTGTATCTAAATCATTACTGCCGCGAAAAGTTCCGAGACGTTATCGAAGAATGTGTAATGCTGCCAAACGAAATTGGGTATAACCGAGCAAGGGACATTCTGAAGGAACTGTTTGGCCAACCGTTTCACGTGGCATAGACTCTCATAGATGGGGTGCTGGCCGAGGCCCGTAAAGCGAGAAACGAGCCCGAATCGTTAGTGAGACTGGTAATGAAGATGCAAAACTGCTTCATTGCAATGACTCAAATGACTTATGAGGCTTATTTGAATGCACTACACACCCTAGAGGCGATAGTACGATGCCTGCCGGCTGACATAGCAGAGATGGGCGGATGAGGCAGTGATTTTTTGGCCGTTTAAGAAGGGAACCGAACTTCACAGAGCTAACAGAATCCATCGAAAACCGTGCCAAAGTAGCCAGAAGTCTCTTCGGACAACTCGCCAGCATGAGTAGACGAGCAGAGAGACATCACACAAAAGAATGAACCTATGAGATCCCGAGAGTTTCTAGGAACGCGAATAATTATGCGACAGTAGGGGAACGTGGCACCCCCAGATGCCCCATGTGTCGCTTGAATCACGAGTTATCTGTGTGCGAGTAGTTTGCGCAACTAGCAGTTCCGGACCGTTGGGAAGCAGCCAAGAGACATGGTGCGTGCTTTATCTGCGACCGCTTGTAGGAACCGTAGCAGATGCAAGGAAACGGGGTGTGAAGGAAGCCACCATACTCTCTTGCATTCTGTATGGGAAATCCAGTTATCAGCACCCCGAAACCCCAGTCTGTGTCTACTGTCTCAATCGGAGGACAAGCAGATACGCCTCGGGGTAACACCAGTGGGCATTTTGAAACCAAAGGGCAGTGAAGGCGATGGCGTTCAACGACAACGGATCCGATACCACGTTGATCACCAAACGCTTCACCGTAAACCACAACATCACAACCCTACCATCTTCCCCGATCACCACGGTGAACGGTACCAAGGTGACGTCCACCGATCAAGCAAACGTGACGTTGGTTTCGCTAGACAATGGGGAACGAGTAGAGGTGACGGAAGCTTGCACCATCGCCGACTTGCCGATGCGAGCAGTGGAATCGATCGGGAAATTAGCAACGCGCTGGCCGCACCTGCGAGACTTGTGTTTCAAAGAAGCCGACTCTCTTGAAGTCGATTTGCTAATAGGGTGTGACGTGCCCGAAGCACACTGGGTCCTGAACCAGAGACTGGGCGGCAGGGGAGAACCATATGCTGCTCACACCATGTTCGGGTGGACGTTGTTCGGACCGCCTCACGCGACGAATCGTAAACCGTTATCGGTTAACTTCATCAACACCACCGCTAACAACGATTCGATCGAACAAGCTCTCCAAAGGATGTATGATAATGAGTTCGATGTTCTGAACGACCAGAAGGGGGGCCCTTCTGTAGAAGACAATCAGGCGTTAGCAATACTTAAAACGGACACGATGCCAGCCCGACCGGTTTAAGGTGCCGTTACCATGGAGGACGGGATAGGACCGATTGCCGAACAATCGCGGGATAGCCTTAAAAAGGTTCGGGTAACTTAAAAGGCGACTGATTTGCGACACAGATCTCCGTCGACAATGCGCCGCGGCAATGCAACCACCACCACTCGGTAACAAATCTCAGAAAACCAGGGAAGGTACGCGTGGTATTCGACTGTGCGGCGCGGCACGGTGGTCTCTCTCCCAACGATTATCTGTTGCAGGGAAAGGATTAGACCACTCCCTTGATTGATGTGCTCAACCGATTCCGGCTAGGAGCAGTTGCAGTGGTAGCTGAAGTACAAGAGATGTTCCTCCAAATCAAGATGCCAGAGGATCAGCGCGACGCCCTGCGATTGCTGTGGTGGCCCGATGGTGACTTGCAGAACCCGGCGGTAGTTTATAGACTGACCGTTCATCCATTCGGAGCGGCTTCCTCACCCTTTTGCGCAAACTTCACACTTTGGCGGACAGCTTCGCAATACGAAAGCAACTTCCCGGCCTCGGTGTCAACTAGCGTTGCGAACAATTTCTACGTCGACGACTTCCTGGGCGCCTTTGACGACGCAAGAGAAGCCTCGCAACACGTAATGCAG